AGAATTATAACTTGGCTAAAATTGCCTAAAAGGTAAGAAAGGGGAGCATGCCAAGTCAACAAGGCATATATAAACTTCTGTTATTATCTGGCTCTTTATATATAGAATACCTGGGGGACACTCTGGTAGCACACTGCTAGGGAAACAACCTCAGTCTGGAATTTAAAAATGAGTTGATATTTTTCTAATATGATATTGTATCGTGTCACAGTGACGGTCAGGCGCGTCCTGTATGCACTCTGTCCAGATACCACACTGCAGCAGCCACAGTTCAACAGAGTGGGCAGAATATTCACCGGATCACCACGGCCAGCTCAGCGCTTAGTCTTCTTTTACAACAGAGAAAACAACACACAGCAACATACTCTACACAACAGCAACCGCAAGTCTGAACTCATCAATAAATGAGATTTTGCTCCATAAAACAACTAATAGCATCATCACTTTCATTATCTTATCCCCATTAGGATGAGCACAAGTTTATGATTTACTGTGTATTACTCAATGACGCCAAGTTGAATCAAGGACATGGATTTATTCAGTTGTCTACATATAAACTAAATACAATTTAAGTTCTTAAATATCATTCTGTTTAATATTGGTAAACCTGCCAATGAACACAAGTTCTGATTTCGGTTGCCTATTTGTTTGATCAGTGGTTTAGCCCTTGTAGACTGTAGCACAGTGGACCCAACGATCCATTTGAACTCAGTCTTATAAAAAAGTAATCAAACACTACGGAGTCAAATTAAACTTTAAGGGAAAAGGCCCCTGTGAAGGCCTGTTAGACGTCCGTATGTAAAAATATGGGCCGACATGTTGTACTAGGCTGAAAGACAAGTTTAACAGTAGCTTACATTCACATGCAGGAATCAAAATAATCGAACAGTGAATCCTCCCACTCCTCAGGCTCACGGAGAAAAGTTCAGGGTTGTTGTTGTAAATGAAAACACAGTTAAAGAAGAGAGAACGGATTTGTAGCAAGTGGAAAACCAACCAGAGTTGTAGTTCCCACAGATGTGTTTTTCCAGTGAGGCTCCTACTTCTCTTGTTCATCGCCTGAGACTGTTTGATGAGGGTGCAGGCTGAATTAATGAGCATTTAAAAAAGGCACGATCACGCAGGGATCCTTCTGTACACAGTTTAAGGTATCGCCATGCTGCACACATGGGGAAGTCCCTATAGGACAGGACGAGTCTAGGCTGAGAGTTTAGACCTATCAGACTCACAGTGCAGAAGATATGGAAGATCTGACAACCCGGCATGAATAAATCATTCGAATGTTTGTTTTTATTTTGCAAAACAGCTGGTAAAGTTGCTGATGCTCTTTAGATTCCCCATCGACTATCCGCAGCAACAAGGCAAACTGGCTTAATTTGCAGATTGAAACTCACGTCTTCCCTTCACTTCTATTTATCTTTGATAACTTTTATCATAGAAATATTGCAAAAAAGTTATGCAGACTAAACTTCTCCGACACATGTCCACTTGCCCCGTTGTTCTTTACACATAGGGAGTAAGATAACAAAAGATAACAAAGAGGCAGCTGAAGAAACTCAACCTGCCAAAGACGATGATGGTCCACTTCTACACGGCCATCATGGAGTCCATCCTCTGCTCCTCCATCACCGTCTGGTACGCTGCAGCCACAGCCAAGGACAAGGGCAGGCTGCAGCGTGTCATCCGCTCTGCAGAGAGGGTGATCGGCTGCAATCTGCCGTCCCTGCAGGACTTGTTCGCTTCCAGGTCTCTGAAGCGAGCTAAAAAGATCGCGGCCGACCCCTCGCACCCCGGACAAAAACTGTTTGTGCCCCTTCCATCTGGCAGGAGGCTGAGGTCCATCAGGACTAAGACCTCCCGCCACACGAACAGTTTCTTCCCGTCGGCAGTCGGGCTCATCAACAGAGCCGGTCCCCCACTGCCTGACTATAACATTCCACCGGTCACTCCCCCTCATACCGCACATGTCACTTTAACTGCAATTCATCACTTTGTCACTTGTCACTTTGTCTCTTGTCTGTTACTTGTTCGTTAGTGCACTTTATGCTTAATATTTTTCTTTTTAACTTTTTTATATTTAATTTTTTTTAACTTTATTCCCTTGTTTTATACTAACCCATAGCCTTAGCCTTATTCTACTAACCCATTGCATTAGCATTTCATTCCACTTTATTTTATTACTTGTGCACTGTTGTCTTGTCTGTCTACTGTCGCGCACTAACCGCCAAGACAAATTCCTTGTATGTTTGACATATTTTGGCTAATAAATGTTTCCTGATTCCTGATTCCTGATCCTGAAATCCCTACAAGCGCATCCAGCGATGGCGCCCTTCATCAATTATCCCGTCGCCACTTCCTTGTTCCTTCCTTCCTTCGTTCTACTTATGTCTTTCTAAATCCAGAGTACACCACCTCAGTGTTCCTTCCCTTTGGTTGTGAGGCATGATGTCGTTAGCAACGCCAGTAATGCTCTCCAGCTTCAAAAGATGCAGAAAAGGGAACAATCATTGAACAAAGTATTCACGCCTTTTCATACCAATTCCAAATGTAATGGAATTTCAATAACATTAATTAACGTACTAGTGGTCACGTCATATGTTTAAAATGTCCATTAAGGTGATTCACAGAATGTACATTTGTTTCATATCCCGTGTGTCATGATATGGACACTTAGTTTGAGTCGTGCATTCTTAAATTCCACTGAATAATTTTTCCAGTGCATTTCTATAATCCTCCAAAGGACTTTGTTTACAGGGCCGTATTTCAGCGGCCGTGCCCGAGGCATTATCAACTGCAGAAGCACCAGATACCGTACTGCTGATGTCAACACAGAGGGTTGTATTGAATAATTAACTCCTGGGAGATATGATGTATTCTAAAGGAACGTTACTGAGCCATTTTAATGACCATGGTGTTAAATACCATGACCTTCGCTTTGGCATTTGTATGTCTCAGCCATTTCTTGCCTACCTGAGCGGGTGTGTGCTACTCTTTGTTGGGTGAGATCGTCCATGGCTACGCTCCCCTTCTTTAACTTTCTCAACCCTCCCGACACTAGCGAGATAGATGTGCCGATTAAACGTTGGAATATAAGTTGCGCAAAGTGAAGATCTTTACAACACACCATTATTTTCATGCATCCAGGGCCCGTCTGTTTCTCCATTTACATACTAGTGCATCTCATTGTTAAATATTCAAACAATACTCCTCACGATGCAAGCCAAGTTCCTGTGTGTGGTTGCTACCTGCTGATTTAGGTGAAGGCTCATTCTCAGATAGGGCACCTATTCTCATTTTTGTGTAACAACTATGTTATCCTTGGTAAGAAAAACATTAGAAGATATCATTAAAAATAGTCAAATCCTGTTCAGGAGAGGTGATCACTAAAAAAAAGCCAACAAAGCAACAAGAGGTGTGAAAACAGTCTTCATTAAGATCTTTGTTTGCCCGTAAACTGAACCCATGTTCCAATGTGTTTGCACTGGAATAAGAAGAAGGAAGAGTGAACGTCATGTCACAGGAAAGCCTTTTCCATCTTGTGTGTTTATTGTCATCTCTTTCTAATACGAAGCCTTTGTAGTCGCTAAAAAACATTAACATGCTGCTATGACAAGTGTGTGGCTCCCTCATAGGAGCCTGTAATTGGCTGCTTGACAGGCTGATCACTAACATGCGTGAGATCATCCGTCCTCACTCTCCTTCTGTTGCCATGTAACCTTGAAAAACACACATCTGGAAGAAAAATCCACCGCAGCTGCGGTCTGAGGATGGATACCTGAAAATTTACCCAATTTAGGCCTCTTTTGGTACATCCGAATAAATATAGTTGATGTGACACATCAATCAAGTCAGTTCAGAATGCAAGAAACAGACACAGAGAGAAGGCAAGAGAGGGAGCAAATATAGATACAAAGCTGCCAGTATCAGCACAGTGTTGCCTGTCTGAACACCATGATGAGCCAAAGGTGTTTTTTTAATCCATTTTATTTTATTCTCCCGGCCCTTTAAATAAGAGTGAAAGCCAGGATTTTTACCTTGCTTCAATATGAGGTCAGAATATTTTTCTCAGCATTTCCCACTGATACTAACTTCAACCTTACTGAGATGTGTTTAACAGTATGTTAGCGAAATGAATAGATCACATATTGTCCATGCTAAAGTTCTCAGAATAAGCACATGACTCTTAAAAATGATACGGAAATTAGTTAGGAGAAATACTTCTGTTGCGAAAGAACAAATCCCTACAAAATTTCTACTAACAGTCATGCGAGTAAAGATATTAACTCTTAAGACGTTATTTATGACAGCCCATAGGGTGAAGAAGACGGGGAATGGCAGCTTGACACAGAATTGCCCAACGTAGTGAGAAAGTGGCATATTGGAAAAACTCTCCCTTTGTCATCATGTCACTGTGACAGAACAATATCTTTAAGGAACTTTCCTCACTGGTCAGAGATGCCTGTTTTCTAGACAGAGATAGAAGGAGGCCTCCCCCCCCCGATAGAGAGATCTAATCATAGACTGGCTGGTGCTGATACAGCCTGATCCCTGACAGCGTTTTATCATTTTATTGTTCTACGAGTCCCCACCAGCTGCTCTGTCCTGATCCTGTGCCCGGACCCAGCAGGGGAAAGGAACGTCTCCACGCTTTCACCAAGGCTTGAGTCAATTAAGACAGACCAATTATAGTTGCTTCAATATGTCACAAGATCTGATAACATTAGTGTGCATGTTAAAGTCTGCAGCGTTTCGCCAATAACGTAGAAAATTAGTTCAGAGAATTATTACAGCAGTGTGATGACAGGCCTCGAAAAACAGGATAAATATGGGAGAGAACGTAGTGTATAAGCATTATTTGCATTATTTAAGCATGAATTGAATTGAAATAAAATATCAAATAAAATACCATGGATTTTATGTCAGGTCAAAGCGAGACAGTGTGTGTGCAGATACAGAGACCATAACGCTGTGTGACAGCGAGTGAGATGTCGAAGTGATACCTTGAGTCCTCCGCACTCTGCAGCTGATCCCTGGTCCACTCCGGTGATGTAAATCCCCAGGGCGTATTCTGCTCCCCCTCGTATCATAAGACCCAGCGAGCGGCCGTCATCCAACACCAGGTTGACCTATCCAAAGCACACGCAGAAATGGGGGTTGAATATAGAAAACCTGACTTTTTATATTTCAGCATCACAAACAACATGTTGCCGTCTCATTAGCGATGATTGACAGGCTGCAGGACTGACTCCTGAAGTTGCGCTTTTTCACACCGAATTTCAGAACACAATCTACAGAGAACCGACAGCCGACAGACAGAAGAAAGTGGTGATGGTTTCAGGGGCACCACGAATGTGGTGACTCAGTCCATTAATGAGGATGCTCAATCCGTTCCGATTGGAGGAATGTCCGAATTGGTTTGTTTACGCTGCTCATCCGTGTCAATCCCTCCGATAAGCAGAGCCGACGATATGGCAAATTGTTGGAATTCAAATAAGCAATGATGGCGAACACGGTTATCATAATCAACGCAGCGGAAATAACGAGCAACTATGACAGCACCCGATAAACACACTGCTGCAAGGAGCTAATGACACCTACAGGACACACATGATGTGCCCTAGTAGGCCTGTTGTAGTTAATCACGTGTTGCATTTAAACATGGGAAGCTCACAAGCGCCTGTTCAGACAACTCTTGAATTGAAATGATCATAATACATTGTTTATGTAGACATTGATTCAAATAGTTTTAAAGTCAGCGCTCCATGCTGCCAAAAGCAGAGAGAGGAATCAAAGGGGCTACTGCTCCCGGGTACAACGGGGAAAACATAAAGAGATTCTCTTATGTTGCCATTTGTGTTATTGCTGAAAAGATCACTGCAACTGATTTATAGTAGTTTTATACTACCTTTAAAACCTTTCAAAAAAATGTTTTAGACAATGCCAGAGCGCAACAAGAACTCACTGATGGAGCCATTGGCTCAACAAGCACCTCGTAGATTAAGGAGTCAACTCACAGATTAATGCCAACAGCCGCTCCCATTATTCCCAATTCTGCACAAAGCAGAATTTCCCAAGTGAATGTGATGCATTTCCCAGTAGAGTGGAGCAGACCCGACAAGCGGGATGTAAGATATTACTATAACTATATATATTTCTTTTTTCTTTTGGCCCTCCCAGCTGCTGTCACTTCTAGATCTATGAAAGCCTATTTGCTCTGTGTTCCGGAGGCTATAGGGTTTAATGAAGGGTTCATTTGTCTGATAAAACCGCTTTATTCTAACCCACTGGCAATGACTCCACCACGTATAATCTGCTCTTCTTTGCTTGTAGCCTCTGGGTCATCTCATCAAGGCTGTCCCTTAACTCTGCAGCTATTGCTGTGGCCCTTGAGACGTAAGCTAACTTAATTCAATAATCTTCTCTCTTCATGGTACATAACGTTACATGCGCATGCATTCCAAACGTTTACCTGATATTCTGTTACCACTCGAACTCGATAAACTCAATTATTTCTAAATCTTTTATTTGGAAATCGCATTTGGTTGCAGCAATGCCAAACTTTAAATTGCCTCCTTCACAATTATGCTCTTGATTACTTGGTCGGAGAATGATTAAGCTGGCTTTTGCCAAGATTGATATGGCAAATCACTGGCGCCGTGGCAACCACACAATGACGCGCATGCAAATATCACTATTCTACAATGTCAGCTTCGTTCCTGTTGGTTTCCCCACCGGTGAAGGTTTGGCATCTGGCTCAGGAATCAAACTTTTCACCAAAGGCATATGGCGCTGCAGCTCCTCTTCTATTTTGTTTAATAACAACGGTCGGCTTGTGGGAGGGAGGAACGCCGTCTTTGCTCAGTGAGAACATGAAGGCATTCACGCTGTGAGTGACATTCATGCAGGACGGGGTTTTAATTACTAGCCTAATCCCTTTCTTATTGGCAGCACATACCATCTCTTAGGGCTCATCGTCTCTCTTTGGCATCAGCTGTTATCATCGAATCACATCCATATGGAAAAAAAGGACTCCCAATGGTCCGGTGACTGTTTTGTAAGCAACGTAATTCATTGAGCCTTTGTTTGGACAAACGCAATTGCATGTAATCACAGGAGGGACTCCTGAATCGTATTGATCATTGAAAGAAGGTAAAATAGAGAAAACATCTTGGATTCATTGTTTGTAAATGTTATCTACATGGCACTAACTACAGCCTGTATAATGGAGCTGAAGCAGTAAAAAGATTAACGTGTGGCTCTCAGCGAGTTCTAGTGTAATAAATCTTTAGAACTGCTCTGACAGCTCGTTCCCTGCAGGTCGTCAGGTGGCGACAGGCTGCAGTTCTGTGACACTGAAAGTCCAATTACTGTTACTGCTTAAACGTTTGTTTTTTTTCTTTCATGTCCATCATCTTTTGTCCATCACTTTTACTCCCACAGACTTCTATCAAAGTCACCCTGGTCGTAGACCCAGGACTCGAGGACTAGTGGCTTTGCTGGACATCCAAACTACTTCAACTGTTTCACAGCCACTTTGGGCCGTGCAGATATGTAATTGAAGCCCGATTCTTCGATTGCACGACCCCTTTCTTGTCTCACATACACGTTCAGGAACTGGTTCTGATGAGTAGTGGAGTAGAAATAATGAGTGTGAGAAGTTACCATGGCAGAGTTGAGTGGAGTGTAGATTAAAGTCCAGAGACACACAGGGAATAGATTGAAAAAAGAAAAACTAGAATGTATGTAAACAAAGGAGTCATAATCCTCGACTCACAGCAGCTAAACAGAAGGTGGATGTTTTCTATAAAAAAAATTGAATTTGGTATATGGATAAAACCCTTGCAAATGGTGTTGTTTACTTGAGCTCAGCTAAATTTAGCTGCCTTATGAATAATTGGTCATGAATAATTGATTTTTGATATTTGAGCATAAACCTTTTTAAATTTAGGAGACTGGTCAAATATTTGTGTGCTATAAGAAACTCTTAAAAGTGCATTATGGATGGAAGGGTCCAGAAATGTTGTAGACAAATCAATGTCATTGACACCAATACAATATTAAAATGATGAAGGGTCATAGGGACGAGCACCATTGAGAATATGAATATTTAAATTTCCCCTCGATAGGATTTGTTCATTAGAATACTATGAAAAGAAGAAGTGGAAACACTGCTCAATGATTGCAGCAGTGTTTCGTCTGCCATGTAAAGTCTCACCTTCTTCTCGTCTCCGTCCTGCAGCAGCTGCATGTTGCTGCGTCGCTGGCTGTCCGTTCTTCTCAGCGTGGCGCTGCGATGCTCGGGCAGGTCGGGAGGAGGGGACACACTCCGACCGTGGGGGTCCACCCAGGTGTAAACATGGTTGGTGACGTAGCCACCTGGAATCCGCCCGACTGAACGCACAGAGAGGCAAAGCTTTTTACTGCCCTTCAGCACCTGAGGAGAGGAGAACGGGCTTTTGAACACAAAGTCAAAATTTCAACTTCAAACAACTTCAAAAGCGAAAAGAGAACCTACAAATATTGAATCAATTTGAGGAGACTTCCCAAAGGGCCATTGAATAAACAAACATCAGTCCATGCTCCACACACAGTGTGAGGTTGCAGTACTGAATACAGTAGAACACAATAAACTCAGGAAAAAATTAAACATTACAGAGAAGCTTTTGATTGCAAAAAGCCCACATGACAAATCGGCCCTTGCACACATGCGCGCATGCACGCGCGCACGCACGCGCACACACACACGCACACACACACACGCACTACTTTGCAGTGAAACGGGCTGTTGGCTGTGCCTCATTGCCTTCTGATAGCTCGCTGTGTGTGCGATCCCTCCGCAGATCAATGCATTCCCATGTGCCTGCTGGTCTGGAGAAATCAGACCGAACTGGGTTAAAGCTTTATGATCAAACTGTCCTTGTGCACCAACAGGACCGCCACTTTCATTCCAGACTACAAATTCTAAAAAACATGCCAATTAAAAAATGGATAATACTAATTTTGCTTGAATACACTATGTTCAATTCAAAGGTGTACTGCTTTTTTGGCACTAGCTACATTCTCAACAAAACAATTCCCAACCTGCTGCTTTCAACAATCCTTCAGGAGCGCCGTCTTCCAGGGGTTTTTAATGGAACTGCTGGTCTCACAAAGAGCCCTTGTAACAACCTTTCTTCCACATATGGTTCTTCAGAAGCAAATGGTTCTGGTTAGAACCCTTCAGGGAGAACCCTTATTTCTTAACAAGGAAGAAAGAAAAATGAAAGTGGACAGATCCATAGCAGGACCTCCGCTTCTCATCTGTATTATTTGACTATTGATGTTAAATATAATCAAAGCTTTCCAACACCTGCATCAATTTAGCTATTGGGGATAAATGTAACTGTGTACTGGTAGATTTATTATAAAGCCATTACTTTGTCAGTTGCGAGCAACTTCTAAATGCTGCTGTTGGAATGTCGATTAACATATGCTCAAATTACGGCTTGTCAGAGCTGCAAATTGCAGAAGAAGATCGTCTACTTGGGCACAGCGATCAAGCTGAATCAATTTTCCAATCCTCATTGTGCTGAGAGATAATAACTTTAATTCTGAGGCAACAACCCTGTCAGCACCGACTGGAGCAAAACGCCTGTCATCAGCCCCTCCCTGTTCCACCTCCTCGCTTTTTTTATGTCCAGGTGTAGATAATACACAAGTAACACCTGAGCTGGTACACTGTAGAAGCCCTAACTCCATGGGAGAGACAGAGGGAGAGAGAAAGAGGGGATGGAACCACACATGAGCAAGGAACATAGGAACATAGCCCGTCCTGTGAGTTCATTGTGGTGTCAAACTGGCTTTCTCCTCGATAAGAATAACGCGGCTCACCAGCCCACAACTGAGCCATCGAGTATCGCCAGGAGGTCCTTGGGATCCAGGGGCAATCAGGATCACTCTGCGCAGACCCGTTTTTCATCAAAAAACAAACGATTAAAAGAAATGTTATGAGGAATTAAATCTTAAAATACAATACTCAATGTACTCAGTGTAATCATACAAGTTATTGCCTTAAAGTTTGATATATTATATTGTAATATAAAATAAATATGACATTTTATATATATATAAATCCACCCGACGAGCAGGCACACTGGAGCAGCCTTTAATTTAATTCATTTAAAGTGTTGTCTTTTCCTGGTTCTCAAAGCTAAATGAAAATAAACTGACACCCGTTTCTGAACTCTGTTGTAACTTTTGTAAAAAAAATTATTAGTTGACTTAAACCAATTAGTCATTAGATTACTGAAGATGATTTATCAAAAACCTCACTGTTATTGTCCTTCTATGAATGCACAAATGAACCGCACAAAATTGTTGCAAGAGGTATTCGGTAGAAAATCTCTCTCTAAGATTTTCTCCACATCGCCTACATGTTTACATTGGAGTTAGTTAGGTATCATTTCAGAGTAAGATGTATGGAGAACATACTGTAGACTGCTATCATGGAACTGGGATCACTTTATATAGTGGAGGATGGATATTTCTCTGTGATGATAATGACTGCACTACAGAAGAGCCTTTACAAATTGCACTGCAGCATCCACAATACCAAGCCACTTTCAAACCTGAAATTACAGGGGTGTTTTTTATTTTTCTATTTGCCAATTGTCTGATCCAAGCACACTGGCTTCTCCCTACAACACTTGGCCACAGAGCATCACTTTGATTTATGGTTCCAAACAGAGCTTATCAAGGTGCATGCTTGTCGGAGAAATACAGCGACAGTACTTTCATAGAGAGAAAGCACCGGGGCACACGGGGGGGTTAGGGCAACAAGGCACGTGCAAAGGGAAAAAGAAAGATGGAGAGTGGTAGAGGCGGTGGAAGGAGGGCAGTGGGTTTAACGAGCTGCTCCCTCCTGTAAATAGGAAACCGTGGCGATATACTGAGGAGACGCAGTGGTCCTAACGCGGCCTCCCTGGAGGAAAGAGATGATTGTGACACTGAGCTGATGAGGCCCTGATTCCAAACAGAAAAAACATCGCTGGGGAAATAATGGCATATTCCAGAGGGTAACTGCAAATGCCACCGGCAGGTAAACTGCTTTCAGATTCATTTTATACACAAAGGCTGACGGCACAAAGCCCGGCTGTGGAATGAATCCATCCGGCTCCACTGCTTAGAAATGCAGGGCTGCACACTGCGGGGGATTTAAAGGTGCCGGGCCGACTGCAGTGTAGAACGGACGGAGGAACAATCAAATTATGAAACGTGATGAATGCAACCATAACCTCTGGTTATGTAAGGAGTCTGTATTAAATGGCCCCAATTTAACTGTATACACTTTTAAATTAGAGTAGTTTAATCTCCAAAAGTCAATAGGGATCATACGAGGTATGTGCTGATATGCATGTGTGTGACCACACTAATCAAAACGTGTAACAAGCGTGTGGGTCTCTGTGTGAATAGAATTTCAAACAAGTCTATACTACTAAGCCAAATGCAGAGTCACTCAGGCATATTGAGACTTTGTATGGGGAAGGTAAGCAAAATACGCCAAACAAAAAGAAAAACACTAAATCCCACCTTGTCCTCTGTCCAATACAGCAAGGTCTCTGCTTAAGATGAGGTTTGGGTTTGGACAGGTGGATTTATGGGCAGAAGAAAGCGGTCCACCAGTCATCTGTTAAAAGCATTTTGTTCTCTGGTGCTGGCAGGTGATCTGGCTGCTCGGTTGAAACCACTCAGTTCTAATTGCTCCCGCTAATAGCACACGCTTGAGAAGAACACACACAGAGCACAGATGAACACAGGTTCATCAAAGCGTGCAGAAACGGTCACACACACACACAGCAGTCAGATCTAATGTTTGAGGAGTACACAGACAGCACGGGAAACCAGAAAGCAGCCAGGTAAATTCACTTTCACCCTGTATACATTTGTTAGGCTGAGAAATGAAGTTGGATCCTCTGAAGGCCTGTTCTTACACACACACACACACACACACACACACACAGACTCAAGCAGCAGAGAGGATGCTATTCAACATGAACACAAGCTCGCTGATGGCGCCCAGCTCTAGTCCAACACTAGAAAGGCCACAAGCAGCGCGACGGCAGGAAAGGTTCCCCCGGCCGCTCAGAAAGGAACCTCGAGGGCCGTTGATATGAACGAATTAATTGAATGATGAGTTTGAAAGAGGTGAAGCCGATCGGTTTAATGTTCGACTGGGAGCAGGGAAATTACGGGTTCAACCAAGCATTCAAGCTCCGGCTCGTCGGAGAGAGGGGGACTGCCAATTTAAATCCAAGCACGTGATAGAGGTGTGATGACTCGGCTTAAAGTTTGAAAGTTTGAAAACACAGCTACTCTCCGATGAAACGAAGCCATCATGTTTTGTTTGTCACATAAAAAGAAAGGGCCAATCTGCAAATTCTAATTCTAATGCACGTTAGGGTCATTGGTAGGAGAGATGAAAATGACTGCTCCATTAGCGTGTTAAAGATTAGGAATGTGATGTACCTGATGTACAGGTGTCCTCCTGCGTAATCAACTGGCAGTGACATCAACTGCCCGAGCTCTTAACTCAAAGTCAAAACAGCTAAAGAACCCACACATGGGATGTGTACGCAACGGAGCACAGGAGGAAGCCGTGGCGTCATCTCTCATTGACGTTATCTTTAAAAGCCTCAGGAGATTGAAAGGTCTCGTTGCTCTCTGTTCGTCCAATTACAAGAGTCGGCAGCGTCGATGCGCACCGAGCGAGAGCACGGCATAAACCAAAGGGATCACGAGTCGGTCCTGTTGGCGCGTGCCGCTCTGACCGGCAGCACCACAGCAATATGTTCTTTTTGTTCGGGCACATTACATCTGGACTGGTGGTTTTTAGCTTTATTAGGTTTTTCCATTTGAATGAACTCAAAGATCAAAATAATTATGTTTGCTTTTATTTACCCGGGGGTGTTAACAAGCACTTTTTGGGAGTTGTAGACTTTTCGTGCTCACTCTCACAGTTTAAAAACTGTGCAGCGAGTCAATTTAATCAAATAAACAAAGTGGGTCTGCAGTACCGGCATTGCAGATCATCAGCCAAACCAACAACCAACAGCTGATGAGGAGGTTTGGTCGGATGGTAAAGGGAAATATAAAAAAATGTGTTATGATATAGATGTTACACGGTTCATCTGCAGTGGATACAAACCAGAGGTCGACCCTTCAGTCAATAATAGCTTTAACCAGTGACAATGGGACTGTTCCACTCCACACAAGAAGTCATGTGTATATGAGATGGATTTAATATATCACATGTACGCATATGAGACTCCATACAATTCTGATTAAATGGGTGTCAAAATGCATCTGCAGACAGGCAGGTGTGTGATGAAACGTAAACCAGCGTCGCCGTTGTGGCTGGTAAATATGGAGAAATGGAGAAAAAATGGGAGTTCAATG